CACGAGAAAAACATTACTTTAAAAACTTTAAGACCTAATAAAAAAATTTATATTTTGCATATGAAAACATTATAATGTTTACTGATAATGTTCCAAATTTCCTTAACATTCGCTTACTAATTTAAAAGTTATAGCATGAAAACTATAACAAGCACAAAATGGTTACGAGGTCAGTTCTAGGGACCCCGAGCCCGTGCTGAAAGAGTTAATCATTTTTTGCTTTCATCTTTTGAATCAGGTACAGTTTTATGAAAGGAAAAAAGCTTTTTGTGACAACAATTTTAAGAGACAGAATATTAAAAAATATTCCAGCTTTATTATATTATTGTGAACATTTAAACAAGATTATGATATTGTGCATTTGTTAAAGCTTGATAATAATAATAATACGAAACATCATAACCAAGTAGTTCTAGTTAAGCAAAATTGATTAAAAAATGTGGCTATTCTGTTCATAAGGTGGTTGGTTCAATAGCTTGTGGCATCTGACTTACGAAGAAATGAAATGTATTTTGCAACTTTTTGATTTTTTTTTTAAACAAGTGATTGCAGTACCGTGTAATATCTACTATGCTATAAATCATATACTTATCAGTCTGTAAACATACATCCTTTTATCTGAAGTGCAACTAATGATGTAAGCCCATTATTTTGCCCTTTCAACAGAAACCAATAGTTTTAGTTTAGTGTTTAAACCTTCAGAAATTAAGTATTAGTTTCCTACCACTTCAGGTATAAGACAAGCCAATTTTTAAACATTTCAGTGTGTTAATAGATTAAAAACAAAACATATTTAAAGCTAGCTGATATAAAATGGAATTTACTTTAATTCCAATAGTCTGGTGTGTAAGTTGATCAAACCAGTATTAGGTTTGCACATGTATATACATGTGTGTGTGTATGTGTGTGTATATATATATATATATATATATACACATAAATAAGTAAATGCTACTGGTATTATAAACAAGCAAAAGTACCTACCTCCAGTGACAGAGGAAAAGTTTAAGTTAATCTCAATTTAAATTATTTCATGGACTTTAAAAAGATTAATTGTATTGCATTCTTGTTTTCACCCAGAGCCAAAGCGCTTAGCTACTTATACCACCCACTGCAAAAAGTAATTGTTGAGCATTTTAGTAATGCTAAGAGATGCTCAACAATAACATATGGTAAATCCATTTTTATCTTTAAGTTATATCACTTATTGAAATGTGAATGATAGTGTGATTGATTCATAACAATTTAATGTAGAATATCCTGCTTCCCAAATAAAATTTGACATCAACATTATTTATGCCTGTTTTCCCGTCATTTCAAAAGTGAATATTGAGTTTTGCTTCTGTGTGTGCAGCTTTTCAAACACAGCGCAGGAAGTGGCTTTCATAAACAGGAAACATGAATGCTCGGGTAGACCCCATAGTTGACAATATATATAAGATTACATCAAAAGTAATTAAATCAGCACTATGAAAATTATGAAAGTTAGTATAAAGATAAAAACAGATATGTATCATGAGGCTAAAAAATTTCCATTGCTACTCCCTGCCATTCTCCTTTAGATCAATATACATACATATAAGTTATTCATATAAAAATTTAATGGGAAAAGTTTTAGTGTGTTGGCTATCATTTAGAGCCACTCCAAAACTCGTATTTTGATACCCAGACTTTTTTTCATTTTTAGAACATAATGTTGACATCACTGAGATTTTTATTAACATTTTAGAATTTGTATAAAAGTATTAATTCTTAATTTTGGGATCTGATAGCTGTATTAAGTAGCACGGATAACATCAAACCTTGCAGTTTTCCACCTCCACCCCAATTAAACAAAATGTGAATGGTCATTAGCTAAAGATTATATGATTTTCGTAATTTTATCGTGATGATGTAATATAGTTAATACAGTGATAACAGGATGATATACAGAGAATTTCACGTTACTCTATATTACAGTTGTGTATACATTTTAAACAGTACATGAAATGTATGTTCAGAACAAGCAACATTGGCTCTTGCCTAGGGTGGGAAGTTCTTGAGGGGCTTCAGTGTGAGTAGGGGTGTAGCCTTAATTTCTGCTTAGGGCACCAGTTGAGTTATCACAGCTGCTGATGTTAGATAATTTGATAAATATTAAACTTAGATTCTAATTTCTTTTAATATGGTGTAGTTACTGTATGAATAGAACAAATAGTGTTGAGTTTATATTAAAAAATTATAAATTCATGCTCTCAACACATTTATATTGTAGTGTTATTTCTCAGTGCTATGTATTGCAAATAGTTGAAAAATACTTTTAATATAACTGATGTTTTTTCTCTTTTCTAATAAATAACAAAAATTCTTACATTATATGTGATCTTGAAGAACGCAGTTTAAGAAATCTTAAGTGTTCCGGTAATACCTCTACCTCGTCTTTTTTTTGGTTTTAGTTTTCATGGTTTCTCATGTTTTTGTGTATTCTTAACATTTCCTGTTGATTGCATGTTTAAAAAAATTCATTTATACATTATAATAAGTTCTACATTATTTTATTTTCGACTTATCTAAAGCAATTTGTTTCTACTTTTGAATGATTTCTGTTATAATGTAAATTAATACAGCAGTTGTATCAATTATCTTAAATTTTTTGGCCTCCTGTATTCTTTCTTAGGACGCTACGTTCCTCCTCATATGCGCAACCGCCCAGCACCACCTCAGCAACCTAGTGGTCCACCACCAGCAAGTCAACAGCAGTGGAATAACCGTAACACCTTTTACCCAACTGATCGAGATAGAGGTGATCAGGGATATGGAAATTGGGATAATAGGAACCAGTATTATCAGGGTTGGGGTGAGTGATCGTTTACCACTTTCACATTGAGAAGCACTTTTAACTTTGTACATGGAATTGTTCTTTGATATTTTAATTTCAGGTTAATTTTTTTTTTATTGTAGTAAATAAAGGGTTTTTGGTATATCTGAAATGACAAGAAGAAAATTCTTCATTGGTTAACTTGGGAAATGCTGTTCAATGAATAAGCTATTTTTAATAAAAATTAAATTGAAGTTTTTTTCATTACATGGTGATATTTCAGGATCATTTTAACATTCCATACAGTTACAAATTTTTCCAAATACAAGATTGGAAAGGAGTTCATAAGTAAACACTAGAATAGTATTAACTTTCATACCATAATTTGAGTATTTGCTTCAGTTTACTATTTAACTAGTTTTAAATAGTGAATAGTGATTCTTTATTAATATATTTCATGTTACAGCTCTTATTGTGCTAGATCTCTGTGCTCTCAATGTGCTGTGCTAAACAAAACTCATTGAAACTATTTTGTCCTTAACATGCTCATACTTGTGTTCTACACTTTTTCCCTCAAAAGTATGATCCTCCTTGCTCTATGTATTAGTCTGTCATCCAAGGACACAAAGTGTAAAGTCTTAATTGGTCCCTGTTGACATGGGACACTTTTTGGTGCTTCCAAGAAAAGAAATAGTCATAGAAATGTTCTACTCACCGGAGAGGTATGTGTAAGTTCACTGTAACCTTGTGCATGAAGATTTCTAATGGTTCAATTTGTGCTTGTCTTCAAAAATGACTGCCTTTTTTTTTCTGCTACAGTTGAGCTCTTCTGTACAAACAGCCACAGTATATTATAAATAGTGAGTTTAAATGATTCCATTAAAAGTTTGATATTTGGGTTAAGCTTAATGTAGCAAATGTACAGTCTTAACGATGCTAAATATATGTGAGCTAACTTGAGACTGAGAAATTTGTACCAATTGTGTAGTTTATTAAAGTGGGTGATTGGTATTTTTAACAAATCATAATGTAAACAAAAAGTTAACTGAAATTATTTTAATTTCTAAGAAGCTGTTCATTTCATTAAAGATTCAGTCACTAAACTGTAGTGTAATAAAAAGAAAGGTTCGTGCATCATTGAAGTTTTGTACCTTATAGTTGAAAAATACATTTTTCATGGAAAAATATAAAGTACAATATGTAAGCATAAATATAGTATTTTTTATTGTGTTAATCCAGTTGAGTATGGTTGCACATTAATTAAAAACACTAATAATGTTATTTTTAAGAGACTTTGTAATGTGGTATTTTAATTCTTAGCATACTTCAACATTGTAATTATTTACTAGATTTGAATATTTTTTCAGACTCATTTGGAAATGACTCTATAAAAACTGTAAGCTATAATAGGGGTGGTGGATATACCCCTCGAGCAGACATTGGAAGAGGAGGAGGTGGCTATGATCGTGATGACCGAAGAAATTTCAATGATGGAAGAGGCAAGTTGCAATGTGTATTCTTGAGTTTATTTAGTGATGTTCTGAATTGTTTTATTGCTTTCTGAAAATATAAGGTAAAATATATTTCTAAAGTTGTTTCTTTGTTATAATACTACCAGATAACTAGTGCATAAAATAGGAAAGTTTTATGAATGTTTATATCAGGTTTCCATATCATGGTACTATTGTAAATAGTTTATATTTTGGTCTTTCTACACCTATCTTTGTTAATGTATGATGAAATCTACTTGTGAAATAGTGGCTTTCAGTTCAAAAACAAATCAGACTATTATTAGAATTTTGTGGTTCAGAAAATGGCTTTTCTGTCGGTTATAAACATATCATTGACAAGTAGGCATGAATAAATAAGTGATTTCCAAAACATGAAGAATTGGGAGAAGATTCTATGGTGGATGTAATAGATTTATTGATATCTCAGAAGGTAAAGAAGGTGGGAAGTTTGTTTGATTTTCTGGCCAGTAAATATTTATAATTTGTGTAGCTAATTGGTAGAAATTTTGAAACCCACTTAACACTCTTTCTGTGTGCATCCTTTTCTGTGCATGTCATGAGGATTTTCTGAGTTACATTCAAAATTTGATTAAGACTAATTTATTATGGTAAATGAATAAACTTGGCTAATAATCCAAATTTTAACATTATGTAAGTTTTAAGTTCCTAATTTTATAAAGCAATATTAAAACAAAAATCCTGACATTTCCCCTAGTATGAGAATTGTGACATTTGCTCTTCTCTAATTTATTTACCATCCCTCCAAAAAGTACACAATTTAAATGTAACTTACTCATTATAATGTTATCCTCAGGCAAAGCATACTTTTTACAGCCTTCAATTGAATTTGTTAAAGAGCCATGAAATAGACATCTTGCCATGCCAATAGTTCTCTGTGATGTTTAATACTATATTATTTATAACCAATAGAAAGCCAACATTTCTATCTATCAAGTAGCATATTACACTACACTGTTTTCCATACAGATAATTGTTTATTTTGCTTGCAGTTCAATCTTTATTACCATTGGAGACATGTCAACATGTTTATTTGAATTTTTAATTGCTCTTGTCACACATTTATTATATAGCTAAAACAATTGTGATTGTTATAGGACATTGTATACTTTTTGGGTGTTATTATTCTGTGTTCTTTGGTGCATTATTAAATAAAAAAATCATTTAATGTAGTAGTAATATCTGTATAAAAAGTAGGGTTAAGTTTCACTAAACAGTTGACAGCAAAAAAAGATCCAGGTAAGTACTATATTTTTTGTTTTTCACGTATATTCTTGATTTATTATTATAAAAATAACTGAAATGTAAAAATTAGAAATTATTAATAATAAAATTTTCCACAAGATATGCTCGCGAGCAACCTCGTTGTAAGCCCATGTGTTATGTAATTTCATAGGGTATTATGAGCTTTATGTTTACCAAGTGATTTACAGATTTTAAGAACAATAACCAATGAAATACAAGTAGGAACAGGTGTATACTGTTACAAGCTTAAAGCTATTTAACTCTTTCAGCACGGGCTGAAAATCTAGAATTTCCCATTGTGTGAGAATTGTGACACTTGCTTTCTAGGCATCCCCTCTTCTCTAATTTATTTTCCACCCTTCCAAGAAGTATGAAATTTAATGCAAATAAATCATTATAAAGTGGTTTAGAATTGAAATATATAATGCTAAAAACATCACTTGTGGTAACAAGCCATTTTATTAAGTCTTAAGGTTTATAAAGCAATGTTTTTCTCATGTCTTTTTTTTTTCTTTTCATATCTTGCCTATCTAACATCCAAAGTAATATTCATTTTAAGATTAAAAATACTTTTGTGCATCAGAAAATTTAACTTTCACATGCAAAATCTTTATAATGTCCAGATAGTTATCAAACGTTTCTTAAGAAAAAAAACTTTATATTTTATCTGTTATTTTCAGTAATGAATCTCTGTACAGGTTTGGTAGATTTGACTGATCTCGTAACCACCATAAAAAATTAGGAAATAAATATAAATTATGCCTCTTTCATTCTAGAACGAACACAAATTATAACACGAAAATATAAATGTTTAGACTAAATAGCTTAAATCTCATAACATTATACATTTATATATATCTATTATTTTTATTATATTGACCTTTCAGCTGAGCCTGGCTAACAATACAAAAGTTACAATGATGCACTCATGTTACTGTATCCAATAGCATAAAACTTATCTTTGGTCTGTACAAAGTAACTTGTCTTGGCTGTGTTTTAGTAGACTAGTATTTTGTAAAATACAGTTACATTTCAGTTATACATTATATATGTATGTAGATTATTG